TTCACCCACAACACATACCACTTGTGCCGCCGCCCACCTGACCATCAGCCACCGGTCTCGGCACGTCTCGGGCATGCGCCCCAGCGCGCCGCCAATCTCCTTCCACCTCCGCCCCTTCTCGCTCACCAGCTGCAGCAGCTGGGCATCCTCTTCCGACGACCAGCGGCCCTGCAGGGCGGGGGCCAAGCAGGGGAAGGCAGCGTGTGTGTGGGTGTGGGCGTGGGTGTGGGAGGGGCACGCAGGGGTGTAGGGCGGGGGCAAGCAGGGGTGAAGCAGAGCCTGGCGTGTGACCCTGCGCTGGCCCCTCCTGCTGCCGCTACGCCTAGACCCTGCCCCAGCCAGACGCCAATCGGCGGGCTAGACAGCTTGCGGTAAGCCCCCACCTTCCCGGCAGCTGCCGCGCGCTCACCTGGTAGTTGCCCTCGTGGAACAGGCGGCTGCCCGCAGCCCATACCGACTTGACGGTGCGGTGCGGCAGCGCCGCCGCAATCTTGCTCCACAACCCCTTTGTCTCTCCGCGCCTGCTGCTGCCGTACAGCCAGCTGTAGTCGTCGGTGCTGCGCCCGTTAGCCACGGCATATGCCTCCACTGCGGCGGCGGCAGGTGGGGGCGGCGGCGGTGGCGGTGTTCAAGCCAGGCGCCACGTGCGACGCAGGCTGCAGCAGCAGCAGGCGGCATCGTGGCCGAGGGCCGGCCCTGCAGCAGATGATCCCCGCCGGAAGGATGCAGCCCGCCCGCTGGGCAGCCAGCCCGCTGGGCAGCCAGCCCGCTGGGCCGCCAGGCCAGCCACCCACATGCCACAGGCAGCCTGCCCTGCATGCCCGCCCCATCCCTGCCAGCCCACACCCGGCACCACGCGCACCTGCTCGCTTGATGGCATCCTTCTCTGCCTTGCTGAAGGCGCCGCTCTTCACCTTCTTGCGGCTGTTGTTCTGCCGCCACGGCATGCCCGCCGTGTCCCGCTCCTTGTCCCCGGATTCCACGCCATGAACGCCCGCACCGTCCTGCTCGTCCTCCCAGCCCCGTGGCGCAGCGGCTGCGGCAGCAGCGGCGCCCTTGCCGTCGCCCTGCGTCTTGCGCTTCTTCTTCTTGCGGCTCTGCGGCTCCTCCTCCTCCTGCTGCTCCTGCTGCTGCTGCTCCTGCGGCTCCTCCTGCTGCTCTGGCCCCTCACCAGCCTTGCGCTTCTTCTTCTTTTCCTTCTTCTTCTGTTCTGGCTCGCCGTGCGCAGGGGCTGTGCCTGCCTCCAGCTGCTGCTCTGCTGCCGCGGATCCCTCAGCGCCGTGCTGCTGCTTGCGCTTTTTCTTGGCGGGGCCAGCGCCTGCTGCCGCCGCCGCCGCCCCTGCTGCTGGCGCCTCGTGCTCCTCGTCTGCTGCTGCTGCTGTTTCTCCGGATACCTTTGCCTTTTTCTTCTTCTTCTCCTTCTCTTTCTTCTTCTTCAATTTCTGCGCTGGCAGAGGCGCCCGGGCTATCTTGCTGCCCGCCAGCCTGAAGCCGCCATCGCCCCTGCATCCGAGTGTAGCAGGCAGCTCAAAGTTGTCCACGTTAAGCCGAGCGGCAGATGTCTGGGCACTCAATGCTTGGTACATTCGTAGGGCGGAACCTGGCGGTTGCACCACCCTTCCTGGGCTTGCTGCGTTCGGCAGCCATGCGGCACAGCACAGCACCCAGCGCAGGCAGCCGCCTGCCCCCTGCCCACCTGCGCAGGAACTCCTCCAGCTGCCTGCTCAGCTCCTGGGCGGACCGGTTGCTGTGCTGCGCCGCCGCCTTGACCACCTTCTTCACCGCCTTGGAGGTCTTCAGCTCCTCCACGCCCTTCTTGGCAAACAGGCGCTCCAGGCTGGCCCCCCAGTCTGCCGCCATTCTGCCGCCGCCGTCGCTGCCGGCTGGGAGGGAAGCGCTGCCGCCTGCTGCTGCTGCCTGCTTCTATACCGTCGCAGCACTTGTCTGTGCCTGTGCAGCTGCCGCGCGCCGCCAGGCGGGGCAACAAGGTTTCAGTGATGCGCCTGCAGCCGCTTGCACGCGCTGTACCTTGGATTCAGCTGCCGTGCACTTGGGTGTGGGGATCTCCCGCCCATGCCCGCCGTGCTTGGGCTGCGCACTACGCCAGGCAGTACCCCCTCCCTGCCCCGCTTCCAGAAGGCGGCGGCACGATGTGCCGGTCATCGACGGCTATTCTTCGAGGTGTTATCCGGCAGTGCCGTGCTCAGGATGGGCGACGCAGCAGAACTAAAGGTGTGGAATGCCGCCCATTCCACTCCTGACCCCATGCCCGCGCGATCATCGGGGTCCACGCTTGCCCCGCTGCCTGCGACCCGCTGCCTGCGATCGGCCACCATCTCGGTCTCTGCCAAAGTCTGCCTGGGCTGCCGCCACCTGCCGCCTCGGGCGCGGCCTCGTCTGCGGCAGCCTGCCTGCCACCCAACGTATCGCCGCTGACCGGCCCCTGCATGCCTGCCGCTCACATGCCCGCCCCTCTGCGTCCTGCCCCTCTGCCGTCCAGGCCAAGGGCAATGCCGCCTTCAGCTCCGGAAACTTCCCAGACGCGGTGGAGCACTTCACTGCCGCCATCGCCGTGGACCCCACCAACCACGTCCTCTACTCCAACCGCTCCGCGGCCTATGCCTCCATGAGCCAGTACCAGCAGGCGCTGGGGGATGCCCAGAAGGTGGTGGAGCTGAAGCCGGACTGGCCCAAGGGCTATTCCCGGCTGGGAGCTGCCCAGTTTGGGCTGCGCCAGTGGGACGAGGCCGTGGAGGCCTACACCAAGGGTGAGCAGAGCTGCTGGGATAGCTGCGGGAGCTGCAGCGCTGGCTGGGGGAGGTTCTGGAGTGAGTGTGGGAGTAGGCTGTACCATCGCCAGTGTGCACAGAACGATGCTGGCCGAGCACCTTCGAAAGGGCGTGTGTGCAGCATCGGTTGCGGTTGCTGTGCTGGATTCCTGTGTCCCTCCCCATTTGGCTCACGCAGCCTACCGCCCTGCCTGCCCTGCCCTCCGCCGCAGGCCTGCAGCTTGACCCCTCTAACGAGCAGCTGAAGCAGGGGCTGGAGGATGCCAAGGCGGCGCAGGCCAGCGCGGCGGGCGGCCCCGCGGGCGGCTTTGCCGGCCTGTTTGCCAGCCCCGAGGTGCTGTCGCGCCTGGCCACCAACCCGCAGACCCGCGCCCTCCTGCAGCAGCCCGACTTCATGCAGATGCTGCAGGATGTGAACCGCAGCCCAGGCAAGCGCGGGAGGGCGGCGGCCCACTGGCAGGGCAAGGCCTGGGCCGTGTTGGGTGCCTCCTGGGGCCCAGCAGGAGCTGCGCGTGCTTGCGGCTGGGCTGCCGGCACTTGCTGGTGCTTATGGGTGTCCAGCCACGCGCCTCGCCCTTTCTCCGTTGAAGCTGGAGGTGCCGTGACGCCGCTGCTCCTCTGGCCTGATCCCTGGCCCGAGTCTATCCCCGGCCTGAGTCCTTGCCTGTGTGTGTGTGTGTGTGTGTGTGTGTGCACAGACAGTATGCAGAAGTACCTGGGAGATGATCGCTTCCAGCTGGCGCTGCAAGTGGGCCTGGGGCTGTCGTTCCAAGGTGACGCGCCACGGCACGCCGCCAGCGGCGGCGGCGACGGCGGCGCCGCGGCAGGCGGCGAGCCCGCGGCGGCGGGCGGCGGCGGGCCGGAGCCGATGCAGCAGGACGCGCAGCAGCCGGCGGCGGCGGCCGAGCCAGAGCCGGCCCCGGAGCGGACAGATGAGGAGTGGGAGCTGCTCAACAAGTGAGGTTTTGGATTGTGGAGCGCATCGGTGGCAGCTTGCTAACCCCTTGCTCTCACTGGTGGCCCTCCTGTGACCAACCATGATAGCTGACATCCCCTGCCCTTCCCAGCCTTCCCTTATCTACCTTTGCTGCCTCCCACCCTGGCCGTGCGTGCAGGAAGAAGGAGGCCCTACAGGAGAAGGAGCTGGGGAATGAGGCGTACAAGACAAAACGGTTTGATGAGGCGCTGGCGCACTACAACAGGTGCGAGGGGTGATGGGGGTAGTTGGTGGCTCTTGGTGGGCTCCAGTCAGGCTGGGGTGGGATTTGTGTGCGAGCTCCTCCGGGGCGGATGGTGGGGCGCAAGGGAGCCCCCCCGGCCCTGCTACCTTCGTGGTGGCATGCACCTGCTCAATGGCCCTGCTTCTGAACCTGTACCGCAATCAGACCCGTACCGCCGCACCTGTACCGCCTTGTACTGCAGGGCCATCGAGCTGTACGACCAGGACATCTCCTTCCTCTCTAACCGCGCCGCTGTGCACTTTGAGAAGGGCGACTACGAGCAGTGCTGCGCAGACTGCGATGCAGGTGGGCGACGGCTGGCTGGGGCTCCTGCTCGGCCGGCTGGACGATCTGGGGGATGGGGCCAGGTGTCTGTGTGTTGTGTGTGTTTGAGGAGGAGAGTTGGGCGAGCGGGCTGCTGGCTGCTGCCACCCTGGGCGAGCCTGCCCTGCCCCATGCATGCCCCTGCATGCGCGCTGGTGCCCACAATACCGCCCCGTCACTCATTTCGCTGCCAATTTGCCATCCCCGCCCCCATTGCAGCGGTAGAGCGCGGCCGCGAGCTGCGGAACGACTACAAGCTGATTGCCAGGGCGCTGACGCGCAAAGGCAACGCGCTGGTCAAGCTGGGGAGGCTGGAGGAGGCGGTGGGTGTGTACCAGAAGAGCCTGACGGAGCACAGGTGCGGCGGTGGGGGGTGGCTCTGGGTGGTGTGCGGCTGTGGTGGTCGTTGTACAGGTGTCCTATACACCAAGCTCGCACCCCCTTGCCAACCTCGCAACATCTCCTGCACCTCCCCCCCCTGCCCTCGCAGGAATGCCGACACGCTGAAGCGGCTGCAGGAGACTGGAAGTCGCTGAAGGAGGCGCAGCAGGCGGCGTATGTGGACCTGGAGCTGAGTGGGGTGGAGAAGGAGAAGGGGAATGCGGCCTTCAAGGAGCAGCGGTGCGTGGGCGCTGCCCGCCGTCCTCGGGCTGCGCCTGCAGGCACACAGGCGGGGCTGCGTGCGGCTCGGCAGAGGGGAAGCCATAGGGTTCGGCTCACCGCTCCTGCCTTCCACTGCACAATTGTGATGCGTTTCCCGCCACCCAGCGGCCAACACGCCGGAGCCCCTGCCCCCGCCCCCTCCCCCAAGCAGGTACCCAGAGGCTGTGGCTCACTACAGCGAGGCGCTCAAGCGCGGGCCTGCCTCGGTCAACCCCGAGGCCTACAAGCTCTTCTCCAACCGCGCCGCCTGCTACACCAAGCTTGGGGCGCTGAACGAGGGTGGGCTGGCTGCTGGGGCAGGGAGACGGGATGGGCGATCAAACCCAGCCACGGTTTGGTTTGTGGGCGGCGCCACGTGCGGCTGCTGCGAGAGTGGTGCTGGGGCGCAGCTGGGCTGCTGCCGGGCTGCTGTTGGGGCACTGTACGCACGTATGCCGGTTGGAGGTCTAGAGAGGTGTGACCTGTAGGTATGCCGACGCAGTGTTGCCTTGCTCGTGCCCCGCAGGGCTCAAGGATGCTGAGGAGTGCATCAAGCTGGCCCCCGACTTCATCAAGGGATACTCCCGCAAGGGCCACCTCCAGTTCTTCATGAAGGTGGGCTGGGCCGGTATGCGTACTGTTCGTGCCCGCCGCCACAGGTGGCGTCTGTGTGGGGTGGGGCGAGAGATGAGGCATGCTTGTGGCTTGCTCCTGTCGGCATCCCAGCCCCACACTCCCAGCTACTGCTCACCATACTGCTCAGCACAGCCACTGCCCTGCGACTGCCGCTGCCAGTGCCACTGCATCCCAATGGCCCGCGGCGCCCATGCTAGCCACATGGCGCCGCGGGTACGGAGGATGCGCACAGCAAGGCGGAAGCGGCCCGGCCCGGCCTGCGTGCAACCACCCTCGTGCACGCCGGCGGGCATCGCCCGTCGCTGCATGCCCTGCCGATGTCGGCGCCCTGAGGCCCCATGGCGCGCCTGGCAGGCGGCGGCAGGCAGACAGCTGCCACCCTTGCAACGTGCCGGCTGCCCCATGGCTGGCCCGCCCGTCCTCCTCCGTCCCCATCTGCACCGCTTCCTCCCCTCCCCTTCACCCCTTCTCTTCCCTTGCTTCTTCCCCAGAAACCCCTAACCACCCTATTCCATTCCCATCCTCCACCTCTGCCCCGCTGCCGTAGGAGTACGACAAGGCTGTGGAGACGTACCAGGCGGGGCTGGCCAAGGACCCAGACAACCAGGAGCTCAAGGACGGCCTGCTGCGCTGCATCCAGGCCATCAACAAGGTGTGTGTGGGGGTGGCGCTGGTGCTGGCGTTGTTTGAGTGTAGTCTGTGTGGAGGTGTGTGTGTGTGTGGAGGGGCAGAGGGTAGGCGGGGAGGGTGGGAAGGAAGCAGGTGGCGGCAGTATGGGCGGTGGGTCAGGTGGCAACGCGGAGGGGCGGGCAAGTGCCTGGCAGGGTGCAGGCGCAGCGCCGGCGCCGCCGCTCCGTGCCCACTGCGCTGCTACCCGCGGCGCCTGGCGCTGCAGATGAACCGCGGGGAAGTGGATGAGTCTGAGCTCAAGGAGAGGCAGGCGCGGGCGATGGCGGACCCAGAGGTTCAGAGCATCCTGAGCGACCCTGTCATGCGGCAGGTAATATAGGCCCCACGCCTGTGCATGCCTCGTGGCGCGGGCGGCTGCCGGGCAGATTGGATGGGCCCAGTGTGTGCAGCCTGGTGCCGCTATGCTGCGATTTCGGTGCCCAGGGTCGTGTGTTGCGAGTGCCCGCCCCGCCCCCTCCCGTCCACCTGCCCCGCCTGCCAGCCCCGGAGCGACACGCCGCCGCTGCCGCCGTCACCTCGCCCGCCGTCGCCGCGCGCATGCCGTTGCTGCGCAGGTGCTGCAAGACATGCAGGAGGATCCCAAGGCGGCGCAGGAGCACCTGCGGCACCCCGAGATCGCCAAGAAGGTGGAGAAGCTGGTGGCGGCGGGCATCCTGCGGGTGCAGTAGCGGCTTGGCGGGGCGATGCCTGGCCGAGTTGGCTGGACACCGGGGGAGACAGGGGGATGTGTCAGTCTTGCCGATCGTTTCCCGAGCCCTTCCCCCCGGTGCCGCCTGCGAGTCTGGTGTGTAAGAAACCAATGTGGAGGTGCAGCCAGGGTGCGGCCAGGGAGGTGCACGTTTGCAGGTGGCAGAAGGGGGGGGGGGGGGGGGGGGGGGGGGGGG